GAGGGGCGGGCCGCGCGCAGCCTAACCCGGCGGGCGGAGGCCCCGCCCTCTCGAGCTCCCATTGGATCTCGTGGGATTTGGACGGCGAGCGGCGGCGGGGTTGGCTGCAGCGCGCGTCCGTCAGGGGAGCCCGGGGCGGGAGCGCGGGGAGGGGGAGGCCCCGCGCTTCCGTTGGTCGGGTTGGGTTGACGCGTATCGCCCACCGTACGTGGTTTGAGGTTTGCGATCGCTGTACGCCCCATGATCCATCTCTCGAGGCTACGGCGAGGACTTCGCCGCCCTCCCGCCCCTCCCCCGCGGTCCCCGCCTTCCCGCCCTTCCGCGCGCGCCCCGCGGCCCCGGCCCGGGCCCCCGAGGGACCCCGCGGGGCACCCCGTCGGCTTCCCCGCGCGCCGGGTGCGCGAGGCGAGGGCGATTCCCGGCGAGGTCGGGACTACTTTCCCGCGCGCGGAGGAGTACACCGCGTTTGAATGGGCTCGATACAAAGAGGGGAAACTAATTGGAGAAAGTAATTGCACCCCCGCCTTTCCAGGGGGCCCAGGGGTGCGCGGAGCGGGAACCCTCGGGGACGGGGCGCCCAGGGGGCCGGGTCCCGGCGAGGGAGGGCTGCTGGGCTGGCTGGGGGTGGCGGGGTCCCCGGGGGTCCCGAGGACCTGGAGGGGCAGAGAGGGGCCGCCTTCCCGGAGCCCGGGGTGGAAGCGGGTGCGCCCCGCAGGGCCAGCCCCGCACCCCGGACTCCGCAACCGTGGGGGCCGGGACGGAGCGACGCTGCCCTCGGGACCCGGCGACAGCCGCCCGGGGGGCTGGGCGGGGCTGCGCTCGCGCCGTCCGGGAGCCCCCAGGCCTGCCCCACGGAAATCGGGTCTTTTTCTTTTTCCTTTCTTCTTTCCTTTTTTTCCGCAGTGGATGGCAGTTTTTTGTTGAGGTTATTTCAAACCTGAGCTTCATGTGGGGACAGTTTACACCCTCTCAGGCTAAAAATAGCTGTGAAAGAAGTCGGGAGTTTATGGTTTTGAAGCTTGAGTAAATAGCCGGGTTTTCTCTTCCACGTTTTTTCCTGCAGCACAAAACCGTCATTATTAACTTCTCGCACCTCGCTTCTGCCTCAGCCTAAGCTTGAACAAGGCCGAGGAGAGGAACCCCGTCCCCGCCAAGCTCAGGGGTTCTCCCAGGCTCCCCTCCAAAGGGCGCCCCGTCTCCAGAGCCCCCGGCCGCCGCCGCCGCAGTTGTGGGCCCCGCGACGCAGCGAACCAACTGCCTGGCAGCGCCCAAGGGTGGGAGCCGGGGAGAGGGCGCTCGGGGCGGCCTGGGGGAGGCCACCGACTCAGGCAGGGGAGCCCCGCCCCGCCCGTGCCTGTCACCAAGATCTGCCCCAGACTGGAGGGATGGACCTGCAAGAGCAAGAACAGGCCTGCCCCTCCCTCCCCCTCCCTCCCTCTCTCTCTCTCCTTCTCTCTCCCTCCCTCTCTCTCTCTCTCCCTCTCTCTCCCTCTCTCTC